CGTGGGGAATCGGGGCCAGATTCTCCACGGGAGACACCCCGCCGCGGACAGGGCCCGTTGGGGGGGTCCCCGAAGGCACCGAGGGCTCCGTCCGCGGCGGGGGGGTCCCGTTTGGCATGGTGTCGGGTTCATGGGCGCTTCCCCCTGAGGCTTCTCTGGGCATGGTGACACGCCCCGCAAACCTGTTCCCGGGAGGTCCCGTTTGGCATGGTGTCGGGCCCCCGAAAACCCGCCCCGGGAGGTCCCGTTTGGCATGGCGTCGGGCCCCTTGGGGCCTCTCTCGGGAGGTCCCGTTTGGCACGGTGTCGGGCCCAGGGGGCGCCACCGGGGGGGGCGTCAATAAACGCTTTGTCCGCGGCGGATGGTCTCCCGTGGGGAATCGGGGCTAGATTCTCCACGGGAGACACCCCGCCGCGGACAAGGCCCGTTGGGGGGCTCCCCGAGTGCCCCGTCCGCGGCGGATGGTCTCCCGAGGGGAATCGGGGCCAGACTCTCCACGGGAGACACTCCGCCGGCGGACGGGGCGTTTATTGGCGCCCCCCCCGTGGGCCTTGAGCCCCGTCCGCGGCGGAGGGTCCTCCGCGGGGAATCGGGGCCAAATTTATCACGGGAGACAGTGCTGAGTTGTTGCCGTCGTCGTCGTCGTCGTCGTCGTCGTCGTCGGCGTCGGCGTCGGCGTCGGCGTCGGCGTCGGCGTCGGCGTCGGCGTCGTCGGCAGCGGCGGCGGTGCACGCTTTTCAAAATCGTCGTCGTCGTCGTCGCAGTCGCCGCCGCCGCCGCCGTCGTCGTCTTCGTCTTCGTCGTCGTCGTTGTAGCGGCGGGGGGCTCGGCGTAGAGAGGGGTGGCCCCTCTCTGCCCCGAGCCCCGCGTCATCGTCGTCGTCGTCGTCGTCGTCGTCGTCGTCGCCGTCGTCGTCGTCGTCGTCGTCGTCGTCGTTGTCGTCGTCGTCGTCGTCGTCGTCGTCGTCGGCGGCGCTCGCACCTCAAAGGGGCCACCCCTCTCTACCCCGAGCCCCCCGCCGTCGTCGTCGTCGTCGTCGTCGTCGTCGTCGTCGTCGTCGTCGTCGTCGTCGTCGTCGTCGTCATCGTCTTTGCCGCCGCCGCCGCAGATCATCGTCTACCCGTCTCGGCCTGGATCCTCCGGACCTCCTCCGGACCTCCCTCCTCCATCCTCCCTCGGAGCTCCTCCGGACCTCCTCTCAGCCTCGCTGCCTCCTCGGCCCGAGCGAGCCCAGGTGGGGCGAGGGGCGCCCATGGGCCCGAACGGGACCCTGCCGCCGCGGACGGAGCCCTCGGGGCCTTCGGGGAACCCCCCATCGGGCCCTGTCCGCGGCGGGGTGTCTCCCGTGGAGAATCCGGCCCCGATTCCCTTCGGGGGACCATCCGCCGCAGACGGGGCCCCCAGGGAGCCCCCCAACGGACCCTGTCCGCGGCGGGGTGTCTCCCGCCGCGGACAGGGCCCGATGGGGGGCTCCCCGAAAGCCCCGAGGGCTCCGTCCGCGGCGGCAGGGTCCCGTTCGGGCCCATGGGCGCCTCTCGCCGGAGGTCCCGTTTTGGCATGGCGTCACGCCCCGAAAACCTGGTCCCGGGAGGTCCCGTTTGGCATGGTGTCGGGCCAAAGCCCGCCCCGGGAGGTCCCGTTTGACATGGTGTCGGGCCCCTTGAGGCTTCTCTCAGGAGGTCCCGTTTGGCATGGTGTCGGGCCCAGGGGGCGCCACCGAGGGGGGCGTCAATAAACGCTTTGTCCGCGGCGGATGGTCTCCCGTGGGGAATCGGGGCTAGATTCTCCACGGGAGACCCCCCGCCGCGGACAGAGCATGTGGGGTGGCTCCCCGAGAGCCCCGAGGCCTCCGTCCGCGGCGGATGGTCTCCCGCGGGGAATCGGGGCCAGATTCTCCACGGGAGACCCCTTGCCGCAGACAGAGCATTTGGGGTGGCTCCGCGAGGGCCGCGAGGGCCCCCATCCGCGGCGGATGGTCTCCCGTGGGGAATCGGGGCCAGATTCTCCACGGGAGACACCCCGCCGCGGACAGGGCCCGTTGGGGGGGTCCCCGACGGCCCCGAGGGTTCCGTCCGCGGCGGGGGGGTCCCGTTTGGCATGGTGTCGGGTTCATGGGCGCCTCCCCCTGAGGTCCCTCTGGGCATGGTGACACGCCCCGCAAACCTGTTCCCGGGAGGTCCCGTTTGGCATGGTGTCGGGCGCCCGAAAACCCGCCCCGGGAGGTCCCGTTTGGCATGGTGTCGGGCCCCTTGGGGCCTCTCTCGGGAGTTCCCGTTTGGCATGCTGTCGGGCCCAGGGGGCGCCACCGGGGGGGGGCGTTAATAAACGCTTTGTCCGCGGCGGATGGTCTCCCGCGAGGAATCGGGGCCGGATTCTCCGCGGGAGACACCCCGCCGCGGACAAGGCCCGTTGGGGGGCTCCCCGAGTGCCCCGTCCGCGGCGGACGGTCTCCCGTGGGGAATCGGGGCCAGACTCTCCACGGGAGACCCTCCGCCGGCGGACGGGGCGCTCAGCACGATCCTGGGGGAAACTCTTGGGGCCAATCAAGCGCGGCACCTCTGGCAGCACGGCCCCGTGGCGCAGCGCGAGCTGGACGGCCCCATGCGGCTTTAAAGTAGAGACACGACTGCGCCGCACTGCCTTGACCGAACTGGACAGCCCAGGAGACACCAGAAAGAATTCGAGAACTTCCCAAACCTTGCCGCACCTGCACGTAGGAAGAGACGGCGCACATGGTAGCACGCAGACGAGATTCCCAACCACACTCACGAAGGGCTTGAGGAGTGCAGTTTCAGTCTCCGCCTATGATATGGTAGTCTCCATCCATGTAACAGTCCCCCCAGTCTGGCTAGAAGTTGAGACCCCTCAGGCCCCAAGGCCATACCCCCAGTCGGAAGGTAAAGTGAAACAGCTAAGAAGCCCCCAGGGACATAAGCGTTGACCCAGCAAATGTGGACCCTATGGGGGCTCGGAAGACGCGGATAACTAGATCCAGGCGGCAGGCTCATTCCGAACGATCGACGACATCCGACACCGACCCCACTCGAGAGCCCACCATCCTGGGTGACAACAGAGGGCCTCAGGCTGCACTGCCAGCCTAAGGACGCTAAACGAGATTCTGCCTCTTTAATCTGAAACTGAGCACGGCCGATCTCCTGGGCTAAGACAATGTCGGCCCTAGATTCCTCGGCTAAAAACGACAAAGAGGCCCCCATCCAGACGAGTTCGCAGTCTCCACCACAAACTCTTCTCGGCGGTTCGCTGCCTGCAACTTGGGAGGAGGAGCGGGGGGAGGCGGAGGCAAGGGGGAGGCGTTGCAGGCAGCTCGACGCTCCTGCTGGCTAGGAGCGCGAGGGGCTCTCGCCAGTGGCCGCGAGGGCCGCCTTGGCACGAGCAAGGGCGTCAGGAGTGGCTGCCTCAGTCGTGGATGCCGCGGCCGCCGCGCCCGCCGCGGGCTGCGCATGCTCCGCGTTCGGCCCCTCGGCCGTCTGCTGCACCTCGCCGCTGCCGTCGCCACCCTTGCGCTTCTTCTTGAGGCGCTCTGAGTGCTCCTTGTGCTGCTGCACCAGGGACTCTGCCTTCTCTTTGACCGAACTGAACAGCGTCTGCGTGACCGACCTGAGACCCTCAGCCAGCTGGCGCTTGCGTTCCTCGAGCTGGGACATATCCGCGGCATCTAACTCCTGCACGTCGCCCAGGCCGAAGAGACTCTCATCATCCACGGAGATGTCTTGGAGGTTGCCGTCCAGGATATCTCGTATGCACAACTTCGATGATACTGTTTGCTGATGCTCCACCTGCTGCGAGCCGCCAAGGGTCTTGGCGTGCAACATGGACACCGCCTGATGGTACTCGGACTTGGCGCTCTCGACCTTGACAACCAGGTCGGGGACCACCTGCTGCTGCTCGGTTTGCTGCTTGGTGAGGCTCTCGAGCCTCTCGGTCGCCCCCAGCAGCTGCTTCTCGATGTACTGTAACTTTGCGTGCGCCTCGCCTGCCACATCGTGGGCTGCCCGACCTGGCTGAGCGCGGCGCATTCTCTCCTGCTGACAAGCTCTTGTGAGCTGGACGTGGTTCGTCTTGCTACCCAGCTGCTCCATGCTTTGCAACTCCGAATCTGTGAGGCTCTTGAGGTCCTGGCCGCCGCCGCAGCCGCCAGTCCATTGGGCTCCCACAGGCCGAGGAGCGAAAGGGAGGCCAGGAGGAGGAAGGACACCTTGGGCCAACTGACTGCAGAAGGGGCTGTCGTGCGGCGCGAACACCTCTCCTGTCGAACGTGTCGTCCCGCAGTGTTTGCACCAGCTCCAATCTGCTTGATTCTTGGCGCAGCCGCAGCTGCACTTCCACTTGGCGTTGCACGTCTGGTCGTACCAGCTGCCCGTGTACGTCTGCTGCCCTGCGCCCTTGCCTGCACATTTTCCACCGCCTTTGGACCAGCCTTTGCCGAGCGACATGGCTGTACGCTCTGGGAGGTGCGAAAAATCCTTCCCGCTGGCGAGCCTTTGGCGGCTCTGGAGGCGGTGCGTGCAGGCCCTGTGCCTGGCGTCTCGAGCCAGAACGGCTTGAGCCAGTGGCTTGAGCCAAGGCTACGGACCTCCTCCTCCCTCCTCCTCCTCCTCCTCCTCCTCCTCCTCCTCCTCCTCCTCCTCCTCCCCCTCCCCCTCCTCCTCCCCCTCCTCCTCCTCTCCTCCTCCTCCCTCCTTCTCCTCCTCCTCCTCCTCCTCCTCCTCCTCCTCCTCCTCCTCCTCCTCCTCTCCTCCTCTCCTCCCTCCTCCTCCTCCTCCTCCTCCCCCTCCCTCCTCCCCCTCCTCCTCCTCCTCCCCCCCTCCTCCTCCTCCTCCTCCTCCTCCTCCTTCCTCCTCCTCCTCCTCCTCCTCCCTCCTCCTCCTCCTCCTCCTCCCCTCCTCCCCTCCTCCTCCTCCTCCTCCTCCTCCTCCTCCTCTCCTCCCCCTCCTCCTCCTCCTCCTCCTCTCCTCCTCCTCCTCCTCCTCCTCCTCCTCCTCCTCCTCCTCCCCTCCTCCTTTTCTCCCTATACTCGTCTGTTGTTTCCACCAGCGGCCGAGCGGCGCTGCCACCGCGAGGGCCAGAAAATTGGTGCCAAACCTGCCGGGCTCCACGCGGCTTTTCGCGAGCGGGCGGCTGCGCGCTAGGCGAGCGTTCGGAAGGACGCGCGCCCAGGAGCCGGTGGGCGGGCGACCCGCGCGCGCAGCGCGCAGAGAAGAGGAGGGCGAGCCGTTCCTGACGTGCTGTGCTCTCGTCATCCTGTTCCTGCCTTCTTTCCCTACTCGTCCCCTCCTCCTCCTCCTCCTCCTCCTCCTCCTCCTCCTCCTCCTCCTCTTCTACCTCCTCCTTCACCCTTTCCTCCCCTTTCTCCTCCTCCTCCCTATACTTACCGCATGGCTAAGCATGCGGCATCGAAGCAGAACGGCCGCCCGCTTTTAGTTCCTCGGCAAATCGAGGTGGCGAACGCTGCTCGAGCGGAGGTGCTTAATGGTTACTGGATCCTTTCCCCTCCGCCAAATGCTACCCGAACCTACAGATGTCGGCGACTACAAAGGGTGTGGTTACGCTGGGGTGTGGTTTGCGATCTGCGTCATTGGGGCTTGGGGGGCACCGCGATGCACTCGTCGGGCCTTGTCGGGGCGCGTCGGAGAATTTTGTCGAGGTTCTCACCCGCCCGCCCCACGCGCGGGTTGCAAACCACACCCTTTGCAAATCGCACCCTCGGAGTCGCCGGCCATGGGCGATGCATGCGAGGCGTTGAGCATCGCGAGACGTCGCACCCAAGGGTGTTGCCGCTCTTTCTCCCCTTCCTCCTCGTCCCTCATCTGTCTCCTCCTTCGCTTTCCCCTCCTCGTCTGCTTCCTCCTGATCCCGCTCCTCTTTCTCCTTCTCCGCCTCCCCCTTCCCCCCGACTCACTCTTTATCACCCTCCTGCTTTCCTTCCTCCTCCTGCTCCTCGTCCTTCTCCACCTCCTCCTCCTCGTCCTCCTCCTCCTCCTCTTCCTCCGTTCCCTCCTCCTGCTCCTCTTTCCCATCCTCCTCTCCCTTTCCCTGCGAGGGGCGAAGGAGAAGGGTGGGAGGGAGGGAAGGAGGGAGGGAGAGAGTGGGGCTGGATGAAGGGGGAACTCCTCCTCCTCCTCCTCCTCCTCCTCCTCCTCCTCCTCCTCCTCATCTCCTCCTCATCTCCTCCTCCTCCTTCTCCTCCTCCTCCTCGTCTCCCTGCCCCTGCATGATCGTCATCGTCGTCATGGTTTTCCTCCGTCTCTTCCCCCATCAGATGATCCTTCTCCCGCCTTCCCCCCCTAGTGACTCCCCTCGCGTCTCCCCCCGTCTCGACGATCGAAGATGCCGACGGCGAATCACCGCCGCCCCCTGCCTTTTGGAACTGCCCATGCGGCCAAACGTTGTGCCGACGTCGGGCCAAATTATTGAACTATGTGTTCCCCCAGCCGATGTGGAACCACCTTTACACTGGGGAGAGGAAGAAACAGAAGGAGGAGGAGTAGGAGGAGGAGGACGAGGAGGAGGAAGAGGCGGATGAGGAGGAGGAGGAAGAGGAGGAGGAAGAGGAGGAGGAGAGGGATAGGGAGAGGCAGAGGGAGAGGGACAGAGAGGGGGAGAGGGAGAGGGAGAGAGAGAGAGAGGGAGTGGGAGAGGGAGGGGGAGAGAGAGAGAGAGGGACATGGAGAGGTAGGAGGAGGAGGGTGAGGAGGCTGAAGAAGAGGAGGAGGGGGAAGAGGACACATAAGAATAATAAGAATAAGAAACATAAGAAAAGGAGGAGGAGGAGGCAGAAGAGGGGGAGGAGGAGGAGGAGGAAGAGGAGGAGGAAGAAGAAGAGGTGGAGGACGAGGAGGAGGAGGAAGGGGAGGAGAAGGAGGAGGAGGAGGAGGAGGAGGAGGAGGACCAGTGTACACCCAAGAGTCAGCAACGATGTTGGAGCAAACCCTTCCTCCAAACTGCCTTCTCATATTTTCATACAGAGTGCTCATTTCTAATTCGTGTGCTGCACGTGGCCTCCGTCGCCCCTTCGGCGCGCTTCATGTCTAATTCGTGGCCGGAATTGCAAATGACCGGAATTAGAAATGAACGCGCTTGTTAGGCCCCGGAGGCCCCAGGGCAAGCATTCGAGCGCGCTCCCGAGTCTGGATTTGGGGCGCGCCATCCTCGATCGGGCACGCGTAGACGTGACGCGCAAATCCTGCGTGTCGCGTACACGTGACACGCAAAGTCTGCGTGTCACACGGAACGGCGACGACGTTGCTGTTGCCGTTATTCCTGTGATCTTTTACGAGCGTAAGCAGAAGGTGCGCCCTGACGCCTTGGAGACACGTTGGGCGTAGCGCTTGAGCACATGCCTTCCCGTCGGCACCTCTCATTTGCAATTCGTGGCCAGAATTGGACATGACCGGAATTACAAATGACCGGAATTACAAATGAGTGCTTTGTAGGCCTGTACAACGGTGAATTTTCCAGTGAAACATTGTTCTCGGGATTCCAACGCCACGGATCAACCTGACTGTTGCGTCTTGACAATTCTGAATCGTGCCAGAACGCCATTCCTGGGACACAGCGAATCAACATTCTTGTTGTACCCATAACCCTGACCAGGTTTTAAACACCATTCTTGGCACGTTGCTGATGGGAATCCATGAAACTCTTGCAATGTGTAAGGCGAATGCGCGCCGCGCTAAGGTAAGGGCCACATGTTGAAACGGAACCGCCCTCAATCCGTGAAACCCTTGCAACTGTTAACAACGAATTTGCGCCGCGCTAAGGCGAGAGCCACATGTCGAACACGACCCGCCCTCCATCTGCGAAACTGATGCCAATATCTAAGCTTCGGAATCGTACATGGTGGGGGAGCCTCAGGAAACGGAACGCCCAGCCCGCCCTAAACACTGGCCTCGGGGTGCGACAGCGAGACGTGATTTCTAAGGAAAAGGAATGTAGGAGGATGGGGGAGGAGGAGGAGCACGAGGAGCAGGAGGAGGAGGAGGATGAGGAGGATGGGGAGAGGGAGAGGGAGAGGGAGAGGGGGGAGAGAGGGAGAGGGAGAGGGAGAGAGAGAGAGAGGGAGAGGGAGAGGGAAATGGAGAGGGAGGAGGAGGAAGAGGAGGATGAGGAGGGGGAAATAAGATATTACTACTACTACTACTGCTACTACTACGACTACTACTACTACTGCTACTACTACTACTACTACTACTACTACGACTACTACTACTACTACTAATACAACTACTACTACTACTACTACTACTACTATATACTACTTACTATACTATACTACTTACTACTACCACTTACTACTAATACTACTACGATTACTATACTACTGACTACTCTCTACTACTACTACTACTACTACGATACTACTACTACTATTACTACTACTACTACTTACTACTACTACTGAATACTACGACTCCTAATACTACTTACTACGACTATACTACTACTACTAACTACGAACTACTACTACTATACTATTACGACTACTACTACTACTTCTACAATTACTTACTACTACTACAAATACTACTACTACTATATACTTTACTACTACTACTACTAATACTACTAACTACTACGATTTCTACTACTACTACTACTACGATAACTACTACTACTACTACTACGACGACGAATACGACTACGACTACTACGACTACTACGACGACTACTACTAATACTACTACTACTACCTTTACTACTACTACTACTACTACTACTACTACTACTTCTTCTACTAACTACTACTACAACAACAACAACTACTACTACTACTACTACTAATACTACTACTACTACTACTACTACGTTTTCTACTACTACTACTACTACGATAACTACTACTACTACTACTACTACTACTACTACTACTACTACTACGACGACGAATACGACTACGACTACTACGGCTACTACGACGACGACTACTACTACTACTACTGCTACTACTACTACAACTACTACTACTACGACTACTACTACTACTGCTACGATTTTTATTACTACTACTACTACTACGATTACTACTACTACTACTACTTATACTACTACGACTATACGACGACGAATACGATTACGACTACTACGGACGACTACTACTACTACTTTTTACTTTCTTCTTACTACTAATACTGATTGCTTCTACAAACTACGGATAACGGACTACTACTGCTTTTGCTACTTGATACTGCTGCTGCTACTACTACTACGGCTACTACTACTACTACTACGATACCACTACTACTACGACTAACTACGGACTTACTACGACTACAACTACTTTACTACTACTACTACTTCTACACTACTACTACTACTTCGGAACTAGCTACTATACTACTTACCAATATTACTAGTACTACTCCTTACTACTTACTCGACTACGACTCTTACTACTACTACTACTACTACTACTTACCTACTGTTAACTACTACTTACTACGACTTCGCCTACGACTACGACTACTACTACTACTACTACTACGGCTACTACTACTACTACTGCTAGTACTACGACTACTACTACTACTACTACGGCTACTACAGCTACTATCACTACTACTACTACAGCTACTACTACGTATTCTTCTTTTTTGCGACTACTACTACTACTACTACCACCATTACGACTCTTCCATTTATTAATAATACTACTAATAATAATGCTAATACGAATACGAGTAATTACACAAGTAAGACGAGCAATAATAACCATATTTGTAACAACACAAATAATCATAACACCAACACTATTGGTACGACTGAACACAATAATAACCATACGAAGAACACTACAAGCAGTACTAATAATAAGACAAATACGAAGAGGAAGAGGAGGAAGAGGCGGAGGAGGAGGATGAGTAGGAGGAGGAGAGGACGGAGGAGAGGGAGGATGACAGGGATGAGGAGAGGGAGGAGGATATAGAAGAGGAGAAAGAACATGAGATGGAGGAGGAGAGGGAGGATGACAGGGAGGAGGAGAGGGAGGAGGAGAGGAGGTGGGGAGGAGGAGGAGGAGGAGGATGAGGGAGGAGAGGGAGGAGAGGATGGTGAGGGAGGAGAGGGAGGAGAGGGAGGCGGAGGAGGAGGAGGGGAGGCAAGGAGGTCCAGGACGAGGAGGACGAGGAGGACGAGGAGGAGGAGGAGGAGGAGGAGGAGGAGGAGGAGGTGGAGGAGGGAGGAGGGAGGGAGGGAGGGAGGGAGGAGGAGGAGGTTGAGGAGAGAGGAGGAGGAGGAGCAGAGGGTTGACGAAGAAGAAGAAGAAGAAGAGACAAACAAAGAATAATAACAAGAAAATTATCCTGGCGAAGGGCCCAACCATACGCAATTCCGAATGCCGCCGTTGTAAGTATCGTCGTTGGTGGAACACCCGATGGGGCCACGAAGCGTGTGAGAGGTGCGCCAAATGGAGGTGGAACTGCATGCGGACCCTGCCACTGGGGCCTTCGGTGAAGCACCCTGTGGGGCCGCGAAACGTGTGAGGGGTGCGACGAAATGGAGGTGGAACTGCATGCGGACCCTGCCATTGGCGCCCTCGGTGGAGCTCCCTATGGGGCCGCGAAACGTGTGAGGGGTGCGCCGAAATGGAGGTGGAACTGCATGCGGACCCTGCCATTTGGGCCTTAGGCGGAGCTCTCTATGGGGCCACGAAACGTGTGAGGGGTGTGCCGAAATGGAGGTGGAACTGCATGCGGACCGTGCCACTTGGGCCTTAGGCGGGGCTCCCTATGACGCCACGAAATGTGTGAGGGGTGCGCCGAAATGGAAGTGGAACTGCATGCGGACCCTGCCACTTAGGCCTTAGGCGGGGCTCCCTATGGGGCCACGAAACGTGTGAGGGGTGCGCCGAAATGGAGGTGGAACCGCATGCGGACCCTGACACTTGGGGCCTCAG